ACAAAACGTGCATCTCACAAAATGAAAAAAAAAACGTATCTATCCATGAAGCTTCTTGTGGTCTGTGTTTGAAACGGAATTTGTCATATGTGTTGTTGTTGGAAAAGATTGAGGAAATATATTAAAACAATGTACTGGGGGATTTGGCTGTTGATGCTCCTTCACTGACGAAACTATCCTTTGTCAGTTATTTTTGTTTCAGCGGAATATGTTTTCATGGTCTGATACCAATTCTGAGGATTTGTAGTTGAGGTGGTGAACCTGTTGTTCCGAAAGTCTCATGCTCATTGTGCCAGTGTAGCTTTGAAGCCAATGTGGCTCATTGTGTTGTCGCTCCTTTCACCCCTGTCCATGGTTCTGAAAATATGCTCTTTTTTTGTTGCTGGCATTGCAACGTTTTCTTCAGCAACTTCTCTCTCTCTTGTTAGGGAACGTTGAGCTCATGTTTGTATTATTTTGAACATGTCAACAATTTGTTTGTAGCGATGACATTCTATCTTGATACGATCATATATTTCTAATTTGCATTTTTTAATCTACTTTGACAAATTAGCGACCATCCAAAACCAGTACCAATACTGATTACAATAACTTTTTTCTACAACTAGGTGTTATGACAAAAACTGTACTCTAGATGTCAGTATGCTCTCATTATAAAACGGTCTTGAATTTCACACCCATTTGCGTCGACACACAAGTCAGATTTTATTGTTGTGTAGCTCTGGTTGAGACGCCGGATAACAAGACTTCTGTGGAAAAATTTGTGGATATTGGGGAGATCATATTCATATTGTTGTTCATCTTTTGATTCAACTTTCTTTGTAGTGCAATGGAGAACAAAAGATTTGCGCCGTTTGCTTACGGCGTCGCTTTTCTTTTCTTTTTTATCCGCACCATCGAGGGAGATGTGAGCTACTCTGTTCCAGAGGAGATGAAACGTGGATCTGTAATCGGGAATATAGCCAAGGATTTGGGACTAAATGTGGGCCAGTTATCTGCTCGTAAAGCACGCATTGATCCCGAGGATGACAACGTGCAGCTCTGCGGAATCAACCTCAACACGGGTGACTTGCTTGTTCAGGAAAGGATCGACAGAGAGGGACTTTGCGGTAAAAAGGCATCGTGTGTTTTAAAACAGGAACTTGTCCTGGAAAACCCATTAGAACTGCACCGTGTTAGCATCCGTGTTCTAGATATCAATGATAATTCACCACAGTTTTATGACGATTCACTCAAATTTGAAATTCAAGAATCAGCAGTTAAGGGTGCTCATTTTCTTCTTGGAGAAGCGCATGATGGAGACATCGGAGAAAATGCTGTTCAAAGTTATGCTTTGCAGCAGAATGATCATTTTAAATTAAATGTAAACACTAAAATGGGAGGACGAAAGAACTGCGAATTGATCTTGGACAACGAACTAGATCGAGAAAATAAAAAAGACATCATGCTTTTGCTGACCGCCTATGATGGCGGCTCGCCTCGGCGATCCGGCACAGTAGTCATCCACGTCACTGTGCTGGATGCGAATGATAACGTACCAGTGTTTAGTCAGCCTGTCTATAAAGCCAGTCTGCCTGAAAACTCTCCTCTTGACACTTTGGTGGTCACAGTGAGTGCAAGTGACGCAGATGAAGGAATAAACAGCGAAATCTCATATGCATTTGACCATGCTTCTGATGACCATAGTAAAATAGTTTCTTTAAACCCCAAAACTGGAGAAGTGAGAGTGACTGGTGTTGTTGATTATGAGAAAATGTCATCTTATGAAATGCAAATAAGTGCAAGAGATGGCCTTGGCTTAGTGTCTTATTCAACATTAATCGTTGACCTTACAGATGTAAATGACAACGCTCCTGTAATCAATTTAAAGTCACTATCGAACCCAATATCGGAGAATGCGTCACCTGGTACAGAACTGGGCCTTATTAACGTGCAGGACAGAGACTCGGAGAAAAATGGACTTGTCCACTGCTCCATTCAACAAAATGTCCATTTTAAGTTAGTTCCTTCTCTTAAAAACTATTATTCTTTAGTGACCACTGGACAACTTGACCGCGAACTTGTGTCTGATTACAACATTACAATCAGTGCCACTGATGAGGGCTCTCCTCCTCTGTCCTCCTCGAAAAGTCTGCACTTGTCTGTAGCGGACATCAACGACAATCCACCTGTGTTTGAGGAACAGTCCTACAGCGCATATGTGAGTGAAAATAACAAAGCTGGCTCCACTTTATGTTCTGTTAGTGCTCGAGACCCCGACTGGAGACAGAACGGCACCGTAATTTATTCTCTGCTACCTTCTGAAGTGAACGGTGCTCCGGCATCCTCTTACGTTTCTGTTAACGGAGACACGGGGGTGATCCACGCTGTCAGGTCGTTTGACTACGAACACTTGAGGAGTTTTCAAGTCCACGTCATGGCCCGAGACAACGGTTCTCCTCCGCTGAGCAGCAATGTAAGCATCAGCGTGTTCATAT